TATACAATCAATGAGACATAACAATTTCCATGCTTGATATATATCAATAAAGTTTTAGCCCAAACGGCACAGAAGATATACAACTTCGGATTAACATTTTGGTAGAGTTCAGGCTTATAGCCCTGTCTAACCTTCTGCCACTACCATAGAATAGAATTCATTCTCTTACGGAGACATGTTCCACATGGCCAGAGGCTACATACCAATACCAACGTGAATCTAAGTCCTTTCACTGATCACATATTCAAAGGTATTTCTTTGCTATTAAAAATAGCAAATAAAAATAACCCAGGAAAATAACCCGGAATAATAATACTGAAAAGCACGTAGCACATATAACACATAACATACAATTATTTCTATATATTAAACTCACCGTGAAATAACCGGGGGCTAAAATATTGATTTGGGCAGTACTTCGGCTCTAAATATGACTTTCGTCGTTGAAAACTGGGAGTTTTCTTGAAAACCGGGCTCTGCGAAGGTAGAGCTTCGAAACCGAAAAGATAAATTTTTCGGGCTTCTCGGGCACTTCGTGGAGTACTACGGGCTTTACAATCAATACCGGGGCTTTGCGGGATGTTAAGATGAAAGAAATATGGGTTTAGGGGTTAAATTTGACAATTCTTCAAAGTTACCTGGGAGGTCTCGCACCCTTCTATATATAGGGGCGAGGCTTCTGATCGGACGGCTGAGAAGCCTCCAGGTGGCGAAGATCCGAGGCTTGCAGGGGAGGGCTCGCACGTGGGCTGCGCATGCGAAGTCTTGCTGGCAGTTTCTTATTGGACCGAGGCGTGTGTCCGACGTCGGCTCCGGTGCGCAGGTGGTCAGCACATGCGAGAGTCTCGGTGGCACTTGTTGATTGGACCGCGGAGTAATAACCATGTGCGAGGCTCGGAGCTAGGGTGCGAGGTTCGGTCCACATGCGAGCCTCGGACTGGACCTCCCTTCGCTCAAATCAGAATCCGACACGTGGCTCGCATGACTCACCAATTTCGTACACGTGGCATCTTTTAAGCGAGGGTGACGTGGCCGAAGCCACCTATGCAAGATTTCTCGGTTTTCGCGCCAAAACTTCAAAACTCCATAATTTTCGCATTCAAGCTCCGTTTTTGACGTTCTTTATATGCACGCGTAGCTAAAATTACGCTCTACAACTTTCGTTTAGACTTCGTCGGCTAATTTTGACTTTAATTTTAATATTATTATTTTTAACAGCCTGGGACAGGAAAATCCGTTAAAAATTCATAACTTCTTTATCCGACGTCCGTTTTCGTCAGACTTTTTACCGTTGCACTACTAATGACGAGACCTTCAATTCTCGTTTATGTTGTGTCGGCTAAAAATCAATCGATCTAAAATTCGACTTTTTAGTTGTCTACTACTAAGCTGAAACTTCGAAAAATCATAACTTCCTCATACGAAGTCAGATTTTGGCGTTCTTTTTATCGAATTTCTCGGTTTAACGAATACTACGAGTTTCATTTAGATTACTAAGGCTAAAAAGTAGTTTATCAAAAACTCACTTTTTACGTCATTCGGCGCCGTGCCGGTTTTGTTGCGGATCTTCGGTTGGTCATAACTTCTTCGTTATAACTCGGATTTTGACGAGGTTTTCGTCTACAAATTTCTAACGAGATTTTCTACAACATCAAATAATAAAATTTTACTTATTTAAAATTTCATATTTTCGCTAAATTTCACTATTTGGCTTTTAATTGGAATCTCATAAGACTTCCAATATTTTCTGAGTGATTCTAAACATAGTTTTACTTCATTTCTAGTAAAAATCATCTGTTAGAACTCAACACTCAATTTTACATAATATTTGACAATTTTATTTACTTATAACACGATTTCAAAACGTGTATGTTACAAATACCTCATCCTTTTGAGGATTTCGTCCCCGAAATTACATCGATTAAAATAAATGGGGATATTTTGCTCTTATCTCATTCTTATTTTCCCAAGTATAATTTGTTTTTAGTGTGATTTTCATGTATTATATGTTGGTTTCGTTGGTTTTACATAGTTGTTCGTCGGAAAATATCTGGATTTCAAATCCGATATTGGTACATAATTGGTTTTACCCTCCAAAGTATGCTTCGTGCTGTTAAAAACGACATTAATTAACATATGTTGTCGTTTTTAGCTTACCATAAAAGTATGTTTTTAAGTCTAATTTTCATGTTTTATATGTTGGTTACGTTCTTTGTACATACTTGTTCGTCAGAAAATATCCGGATTTGAAAAGAAATTAGAATTACAAATAAACATAACGTTACTAACAAACATAACATAAAACTTAAAGGAAATTAGAATTACAAGTAAACATAAGATTACTAATAAACATAACATAAAACTGAATGGATATTTGAATTACAATTAAACATAACATTAATAATAAAGATAACATAAAAACTGAAAGGAAACTAGAATTACAAATAAATGTAACATTAATAATAAAGATAACTTAACATATTACTAACGTGCAAATGGTGGTAAGACGACCATATTTTCAACTGGTATTTCCCAATGCAGAAGAATTGGAATAGGATTAACCGCCTAAGCTTGGGATGTATTTCGATACACCGCAGAAGTCAACTTATAATTTACCAATTGTTGTATTTCTTCAATTGTAAGCCTTCTTAGCGATGCTATACCATGTTCACAAGGTATGCCACATTTTTGCCATTTGCTGCAAGTACAAATACCACGTTCATCTTGCACTGTTTGTATGGTTAAATTTAAACTCACTTCAAATTTGTTACTACCAATATGTATAACCTCATAACCATTAGACTGGTTCATTCTTCTTTCAAGCACATGTTGTGCATAAGGGGTAAGATGACAATGCATTTCCTCCGTGAAATTATTTGAGTTACAATCAAATAGGGGGTATAAAAAGGTAAAAGTTAAATAACAAATATTTATTACCTCCGAATGCAGCTCTATAGTCGTACATTGTTTGTATCGACTGATGGACTACTTCAATGATTGGCGTTATTGGTAACTCATGCGTGTTTGTTGTTAGCCAATTCAATCCAATCGGAATGTTGATATATTTCACATTGAAACGAACTTTAGGGAAAAAAGGTTCGAGCCCATTTTGCAATTGCAATATTTTCAAGCCAGTGAAGATCATTCCCATTAACCTCATTTGTTAATTTGTTAAAAAAAAACATAAAATTCAGACACACTATAAGTTTTGCATGTCTTCCAGAACAACTGTTCCACAACGGTACTTCCTGTGAAACCAACTTCAATAGTGTCACCTAAGCATTCTTTTAACCTTGTCATGAACCAAATCCAAGCCTCGTCACAATATATGCTTCCGAAAGCGAATGCTATGATCAGGGGTTCATGATTACTATCCAAAGCAAGAGCAACATACATTGTCGTTATGTTGACCCCAATATGTGGTACATAACCAACACATATTGTTGGTATCATGGATGTGAGAAAGGTAGTAATCTGTAAGAAACCATACCAACATTAGGAAAATATGAACTTGAAATAAATAATAACTTAGTATAGATAAGGACATACCACGCATCCTAATGCGACAAAACAAAATTGAAACCAATCTCTCATATCTTTCTTAATGATTGTGAAAGAGTTACGATTTGTTCTTTCAAGATTATGAAAGAATATTGGTAGGTTCGAAAAACTTTTTTTGTATACCTCATTGAATCCACTCATTTTGCCTATTCGTATGTTCAATGAATAAGGTGTCCACTATAAATGGACTTCATTTCAAATGGAATGCATAAATGGTAATGGCAATCATATGTCTGAAATTCATTATACGATAAGACAACACATAAACTAGTAGTTAAATGCTAGTAGACAGTAGTCAGTACTTATAAAATAGTAGTTAAATTACAATCATGTGTCTGAATTTTACTGTACGATAAGACAACACATAAACTAGACGTTAAATGCTAGTAGACAATAGTCAATACCTATAACACAGTACTCAAATTACAATCATGTGTCTGAAATTCACTGTAGGATAAGACAACACATAAACTAGTAGTCAAATGCTAGTAGACAGTAGTCAATACCTATTACATAGTAGTCTAATGGAAATATATACTTGAAAATATATTTACCTGTCAACACTAAAAAAAATTACTTCTCATAAATCAAAGAAATGACAATGTGCAGTTGTGGGGCTTAAGGTATTATAAGGACCTCAAGAACTACCAACAACCTTGGACGGTTATTTTACGCTTGTCCTAAAGAGGTATTTGAGTTGTCCTATAATTATTTATATTATAATTTTTTAGTGAATATTTACACAATATACATAATTATTTTGATATTTATTTATCAGCCACCACAGTCTGGGTTTATTTGTTGGGTGGATGATGCAAAAGACAATAATTCATTGATAATTTCTAACTTAGCTCGATCGATCAAGAAGCTTCAAAGTAAAATACTACACTTGAAGATATCGTTACTTTGTAGTTGGATTTTTTTTTTTTTTTTTTTTTTTTTTTTTTTTTTTTTGTGTTGCTGTCTACAAGTTGTAAACTGTAAAATGTAAAATGTAATGTATATGTTATTGTTTGTAATGGTTTATGTTTCCATCTATGGTAACTTCTTGTGCTATTCTTTTCATATTGTTTTGTACAAGTTGTAATATATTTTTTTTTCTGATTTCGTTTTACTGCAGAACACATGTTATTTACATGTTGTAATATTTTTTTTTTCTGATTTCGTTTGACTTGTAACAATTAGTTGACATTAAACACATCTTACGTATCTAGTTTACAAAACAATACTCATTCAAATACAATTATTTGACATTAACATAATTAGATTACTAAACATAGGTAAACTGAATACTCTTACAAATTTTTTTTCCTAACCAACCACTAATAAAAAGCAAACATACATATATATTACCTAAAAATTACAAATAAAAGACATACATAGACATATTTTCTACCTTAAAATTACTTCAATAAACAAGCAAATTATTAAAATACTACTCATCTTCTTCCCACATCGGAAACTCGTAAGGATACTCTTTTTTCATAGCAAGGACTTCCTTTTTTCCCCTCCAAATAGTAATCACGAAGTTCTAATTCACTCTTTAGCTTTCGAAAAACTTCTTCACTAGAGCGGATCGAACTCTCAGCAGATTGGAATTCTTTCATAGTACTTATAATCCAATTCCTTTTACGGTCAATATCATCCCAATAGTTGTCTAGAAGGTTTCGTTTGAAACGATAATCTTCAAAAGCCTTATCCACATCAACTTCTCTTTGTAACAACACTTTTTTCACTTCCTCATCCATCTTCTCCCCTAATATAGGAAGATCGATGTGGGGAGGGGGATTGGTTGAAACGTTTTTGGAATTTGACTCCAAAAGAGGTTTATTGTTGGACGTAGATGACCAATTAAATTTTTCCAGGATCCTTTTCATCTCCTCTAATCTTTCTGTCATTTTCACACTACAAATTTTTTTATTGTTTCTTTGATTTCTGAATTGATAACAAATTTACATTAAATATGACATTAGATAATAGTCAACGACTATAAGATAGTAGTCAAAACCTATAAAAAATAGTCAATCGAATAAAATAGTATTCAAACACTAATAGACAGTATTCAAAACCTATAAAAAAGTAGTCAAATAACAATCATGTGTCGAATGTTCACTGTACGATAAGAATACACATGAGGTAGTAGGTAATGGCTAGTAGACAGTAGTCAACTCCTATAAGAATGTAGTCAAATTAGAATAATGTCTTGGTACGATATGACAACATCTAATATAGTAGTCAAAAGTTATTTGACAGTAGTCAAAGCCTATAAAAAAGTAGTTATTTTGTCGATTATATATAGAGACTTAAATGCGTGCATCTGAGATTTACAGATCATATATTAGTGGTTAATCTATAACCTCATACATATACAATCATGTCCACCTCTCAAGAAAAATGGTGGTTGATGCCACAAGAGAAGAGATTGCAAATGTTAATAAAAGAAGAAGAGATCAAGAACGAGATTAAAGGCGTTGAAGAAGATAGGAAACGGTTGGATAACTTACAAGCCAATATTTTGTCTAAAATGAGGTCGGTTCAAGACAATGAATGCGACATAAAAAACTGGAAGGATTTGGGTACGAGATGCAATAGACTATCCCAAAAAAGAAGAGGCTAAAATGAAAAAGATTCTCAAAAACATACAAAAAAAAATTACGACTGTGTGATTCAAGAAAAAGCAAAATTTCCAAATGATTTTCCAGATGTTTGAATTTAATAATTTTTGATTAATCAAGTAGTAAGTTTATGCATTATTTATGAGTTTATCTATGTAATAAGTTTTATATTTGCTTGTTTATTATGATTAATCTATATAATATGTACTATTCTCTTGCTAGTTTGTTTATGTTTAATAATTAGGGGACATTTTGTTAACCAATCGTCATGAAACAATACACATTAAATGTCACTGAAAACATACAACTCGGACTAACTAAAAATCGCATGTGTAGAAGATCCATAATATATCATGGCCATCTATAGTGAAACTGAGCAGCAGCAATAACATGTGCCATCGATATACCAATTGGTCGACCTGAAACAAGTTGTTCCATGAACATCAGCACAAATACACCGCACTCTCCAAACATCCCTTCTTGTTGGGGCATGTGACATCCCCATTTTAACGGACAGAAAAGACCGATTTTGTTTATGCTTTATAAAAATCAGAGTACCTCTTTTAATAAAAATGTTGTGAAATTTGTTCCCAGTAAAACATGATAAATACGTTATCAAAGAATTTCTGAAGAAAAGTATTTTTTTAATTCGTTTTAAAACATTTGGGATGTCATCGTCAATACAGAAACATAAGCATAAACAGAACTTACATGTATTTACACTACTGATCTACATCTCTTTAATCTCTTAGTGTAATGTGACTTAATCTCAACACCTGTAATATAAATAAACTGAGTGGGTCAGGTTGGGAAACCTGATGAGTACATAGGGTTTTCAACCCACAATAATATAATTATTATGTTTAAATAATCAAACAATCAACCCAATTACCCATCCCCATTATCTTCTTTAATCTTAAGGATCTACCCTAAGAATCAGCTATTCCTCGTTCATTCATTCCTAAGGATCATCCTAAGGAATCGGCACAAAGTCCATCATTGCCACGGTTTACACAACAGGCACTAAGTCTGCATAGTCGCCAGGGTTTAGGTATCAAGTCTGCATGATCACCAAGGTTTGGGTATCAAGTCTGCACGATCACCAGGGTTTAGGCGTCAAGTCTACATGATCACTAGGGTTTAGGCATCAAGTTTGCATGATCACCTAGGTTTAGAGTACACCGGGAGAACACATCGTTCATAACACCAACAGGTTGCGAGCTTGCTAGTGTTCCATTGGACTGTCTAGAATAGTCTGTGTTTGCATTCATACTCTGTTGAATGACAGGGCCATCCTTTGGGAAAAGGCTTCTCACATCGTCCACCTCTCACCCTCACCTCGTGGTCAATAACACCTCTCAACTCATCATCCAACTCATATTCCATTTATTACATCTACCCATGTTTTACCCCAATATTATCGTAGATATAAAACACATATACAATTTAAATCATTGAAAACATGTATAAAATCGCTCATCCAACATAGACAACAAGTATTAAGATAATATGTACACATAGCACGTAATTTATATAAAATACTTCATATCTATGTGTAAGATGAAAGTAACTATGCACTCACCTGATACGGTGGTGACTCAGCACTCGGACAACGCTTCGATACTCTCAAAACAATTTTAAAACCTAGTATTAATACCACTAGGGTTTAGTCTAACGATAACTGCGACAAATTAATAGTCTGACTATTGTTATTATTATATAAGTGTTAAATAACACTCAATATAACTCATAATAATAGCCCAAATAATTATTTTAAGGACCTAATAACATTACTATAATTATTTGGAAGCTATATTAAAATTTGCGTAAGCGTGGCTCACTTACAACGAATTTTAAAGAAAACCGGGCTTTGCTCAGAGTAGGGTTTTCGAAACCGAAAGATCCTTTTTCTCGGGACTCCGGGAGCCTCGGAGCTTCCCTTAGGTGCTAGGGGGTTTTTCCTAGGGTTTAGGGGGGGTTAGAGGGGTAGTAAGAGAAAGTAGAGAAAGAAAGAGTTGAATAAATGAGTGAAAAATCCGAGACCCTTCGCAGCCTATTTAAAGGGCCGAACTTCAGATCTACACTACGCGTACCACTCAACTATGTTGGGCGTAGTTCGGATAAGGTTGCTAGGCGTGTTCCAGTTGGCTCGCACTCGGACAGGACCCGAATAAGGCCAAAGGTACGCTGGACGTACTGGAGCTCGTACGTGGGGAATTGTGCGAGGTTACGTGGCGTGATCCGAAGCGACGCCTTTTTCAGCAAGCAACGGCTTAGATGCGGCCACGTCATCAACCTCTCGCGAATTTCGCAATTTTACACTCCGACTTCTAAAAATCATATCTTTCGCATACGAGCTCCGTTTTCGACGTTCTTTATATCCACGCGTAGGCGGAAACGTACTCTACAACTTTCGTTTAGACTCCATTGGCTAATTTTGACTTTATTTTAAAAGTTACATTATTAACAGGCCGGGACAAGATTGGTCCGTTAAAAATTCATACCTTCTTCATCCGACGTCCGTTTTTGCCCATCTTTTTCTCGTTACGCTACTCTTAACGAGATATTCGATTCTCATTTAGGTTGTGTTAGGTAAAAACCGCTCGTTCTATTATTCAAATTTCGGGTTGTACACTGCTAATCCCACGAAATTCGACGGGTCATAACTTCTTCATTATAACTCAGATTTCGGCGCTCTTTATATGTACGGAAACCTTGTGACATATTCTACAACTTGGTTAAGATAATTTGTTCTAATAATCTGTTGTCTAAAAGTCATTTTCGACACTTATTGTCTCTAATTTGACTAACCCGGATCTGCGGGCGTTACAGGGCACATCCGTAACAATGATGGATGCTTTCTGAACATGCAAACTCATGTGGTTCCAATATCCAATTACTAGCAGAATGCGGTCCATAAGCTCTTCAAACCACACAAAATCAATAATCTTTACGATGCCAAATGATCGGAAGCTGTCGTACAAATTCAACGATATCGTGTCCATCCATAACACGGATTTCGGCGCTCTTTATATGTACAGAAACCTTGTGACATATTCTACAACTTGGTTAAGATAATTTATTCTAATAATCTGTTGTCGAAAAGTCATTTTCGACACTTATTGCCTCTAATTTGACTAACCCGGATCTGCGGGCGTTACAGCGCACATCCGTAACAATGATGGATGCTTTCTGAACAGGCAAACTCATGTGGTTCCAATATCCAATTACTAGCAGAATGCGGTCCATAAGCTCTTCAAACCACACAAAATCAATAATCTTCACGATGCCAAATGATCGGAAGCTGTCGTACAAATTCAACGACATCGTGTCCATCCATAACTCGCCAAGTACCCAATGATGTGGGTTGATGCATATTGGAAAATAAACTTGTTTTAACACACAACCGTTGCAATTAATTACAACATTTAATTAGTGTAATATGACAGTTAATGTGACTAATAATATATATATATATATATATATATATATATATATATATATATATATATATATATATTATTTCTTTATTTAGACGATCAACTTCTAGCCAAGATTTACAACCATCCAATGGGTCAAACGGATTTCCTGTTGCACTTCCTGCCCACTGGAACATCTCAAATAAAAAATGACGATGACATCATTGTCCATCGAGCATCGTTCGGTCTCCTCTCATTCAAAAGTCTTCCCCATATGTTAACATGTTGCATTTAAAATTAATTTAAACATAAGTAGCTTATAAATTATTTAAATCATACATACTTATAAAGCTAACATTTTTCCTTGATCCTCATGCATTTGAAACCCCCATAAAAATTTGCAAACACCTCATGCATTTGAAACCTCCTATTTTAATGAATACCACTAAAAAATCTCTTAATAATAATTAACAATTCAAAGGTTTTATAACTTATATAATATATTTAAGATACAATTAATGGATACTTTACTATAAAAAGGTCAATCTTTTTTAGTAGACACACAAATACAAATCATATATAGAATTCACAAAGAAAACAAGTTTAAAGTTTTTTGTGTTGGCTTGAGGGCTTTGAATAATTTTTCGAGCCATGTTATTATGTTGAAGTTTTAATTTGTAAGGTTTTTATATACTAATTCTTTTTGTATTTTCGTGATTTAAGTATTCTTTTAAGAATATCATTGCATGTTGTGGTTGAAATTTTAATATAAATTAGATTAGATTCATGTTATCGATCATATGTTATGAAGGTGCTATATATATATATATATATATATATATATATATATATATATATATATAT